GGAAACTGAGCAAGCAAAGTCTGACACTCTTTGCTTAGCTCTCCCATTGTGGCAAGCTTTGGCTTGCAGATAGGATCATTTCATAGTCCTCCCAAAAGAAGACACCTTGATGTGCCTCCATGAAGTAGTGATGGAGAACAAGGTTTTTTTGGAATTGTGAACCTTCGTCAACCACTTTCCTTAATTGTTCAATCATTGTATCAGTTCGTCAGTGAGCATTTCTAGCTGCAATGAGCACGTGAGTCCTAAAAGAACATCTTGGAAGGGACAGTAGAAAACATCTTCATTTACATATATTGAGGTAGCACAAAGATTCTACACCAAAGAGCTTGAAAATCTGACCAGATTCTTTTCTGTGGGTGCCGCACAGAATTTCAACAGGAAAAATTTATTTTCAAGATAGACTTCAAAAACGCAGTAGTACCAGTCTTCAAGTTTAGCAAACAACTAAATAAAAAAAAAAAACCTAGATCAAGAAGAGTCCTCCAGTGGGTCGTGCTTTTCTGCTTTCAACAAAACTGAGCAGAGACCCCATCCACCAGACTGTCAGCTCAGATCCTTGGGCATTCAAAATTGTTTCATAAAGTTTAACTTCTGAGAAGAGACATTGTTGAAAGCAATTGTTCAGCCAGCCAACTACTGTCACTTCCATGAATATGAATAAGCTCCAATATAGGACACTGAGCTTTTTGCAAATGTAAGAAGATCCAGTTGTTCAGTTATTCTTTGCCAGTAAATCAACCCGCCATTATTTCGAGACTTTTATTTTCCTCTGATGTCTGAATATGTGGGTGGAGTTTTGTTTTAAAGTCCCCTTCTTCCCATTTCATAAAGATTATTTTTATACCACCTTGATAAGCTTTCAGAGCAGCAGGAGGAATCCTAGTGTCAATGGGATGAGGCCCTTGAAAAGATATCTACTGCTATTTCTCCTGAATGTGCATGATATTAACTAGCACTTACTCTGAGGAAAAGAGATAGCTAAAGAAATTGTTCAGAGTTCATGAAAATTAACATTTGATGTAATTTTGTAGCCATAATTTGCATGTACACAACTTAGACATAAATACATATGGATTAATGCAAATTTTCATACCGGGAAAGATTCACTGTGCTCTGTAAAACTAAGGGTAAGGCTGGTGATGAATCATTTTTTTTAAATATTCTAGTCTGGATATATAAATAGCTCTCTGTTTCTAGAATAATTACTACTGAAAAACGCAGCTTCTGAAATAACCTAGGCCATAATTAACCTTCGCTTCATTAAATCACAAATAATATCTTTTTAAAGTCTTATTTGTAAAGGCAAGCTGATTAATTTAAACGTTTCCCTTTTGCAAAAGATCTAATTGAAATTATTTACCCACACAGGGACTTGTCAGAACTCGTATACTCTGGGCAGGTTGCCAGCCGGCTCCCTTGCCCTTTCCCCAGCTCCCCGGGATGGAGCTCCGCGCTGACCCCGTCTCTGCCTCCCCTCGGGGGAGCAGGGGCGGATGCTCGGGGAGAGACGCCCCGCCACCATCCGCGGCCGTTCCCGCAAGCGCGGCATCCCCCTGCCCGGCCCCTCGGTGCTGCACGACCCCTCCCCTCCGGGCGGGACCCGCTCGCCTGCCCTGTCCCGCCGCGTCCCTGCTGGGGGATCGGGGGTGGCGGTGGGGGCCAGGGCCCGGCCTTCCCTCCGCAGCGGCGGAGAGAGGGGGCGCTTGCGGATGCAGGAGCGATGCGGAGCCCCCCATGCCCTGCCCTGCCCTCTCTCCCAGCCCGGGCTGCCCTCGCCGCACGGCCGAGCTGTGCTGGGCAGGACTCGGCGCCGCCGCCACCGCACCGCGCCGTCCCTCCCCTTTCCTTGTAAGACAGCGCCGACCCCCGACCGAAGGAAAGTTTCCAGCCGAGCGCCAGGACAGGTCTGGGCTGTCCCCGGCGCTGACGCCCTCTCCGCGCCGCCGGGACGAGACAGTCCCCCTCCAGCCCCATCCCCTTCCCGCACCCAGCCCCGCCCGCCCCGTGGGTGCCGCCCGGGGCGCTCACCTTCCTGCACCGCATGGAAGGGGTTGTTGGCCTCTATGAGCTTGATGGAGTAAGTGATTTTCTCGCTCTGGAGGATGTCGTCATTGAGGTTCAGATCCGACACCGCCTGCTTGAACACCTCGTCGTCCTTGGCAGCATTGCCCTCGAAAATGGCACCTGAGGGGAGGAAGGCGGCAGAGGGTGAGGAGGGTTCGGCCCCGCTCATCACCAGCTCGGCCCGCCCGCCAACCCAGAGCCCCCGCTCCCCTCCGGGCCGGCTCGCACGGTGCCAGGCAGGGCATTCCCGGGGCATCGGGGCCGGGACACACGAGGGGGCGGCCGGGCACGGGGAGGCTCAGCATTCCTCCGGGCCACTTGTGCTCCACTGGCATTTACGGAGCCCTGAACCGCAGCCACGCCGGCGTGAGGGACTCGCTTCGCCAGTGATGAGAAAGGGAGCAGGCTTGGGAACTCCACCAACTTTGTGCTCGCTCTGCTTCGCCGCTCCTGGGATGCCGCCTTTCAGGCCGCAGTTTTATTGAAGCTTACAAGCACGCACAAACGTCAAGTCAGGATTTGCGTCCAGCAACCTGAAAGCTGTAATTTTACTGTCCTGTTTATGCAGTTAACGTGAAAACATCTGGCGATCTGTGTTACATAAAATCCCTCTCTACGGAGCGTGTGTGTGCCCACGCCAGGCTTACTGCCCTGCTGTACGCGGCGGTGGGAGATCTTTAGAGCTGGCAACAAAACAAGCAAAAAAAAACGTTATTCCCCAGCCTGGAAAAGTCCTGCTGATTCACACCGTGCGTGCCTGTGCACTGCCCGTGTGAAATCGGAGCCGTGCACACAGCAGCTCCTCGCTCCTGCCCACCGGACCGCTATTTCTGCCAGCACTTAGCAAACATTACTCGGGCCGAAGTTCGTGCGGGGAGAAGCCGAGGTGACACCGTCCACGCGCAAGAGAAGCGGGGCAGAGGGGAAGACCCGCGGAGGTTGTTTCGCCCACCCCTCTGCCCCCGGCCAGGGCACTTCTCCAAGGCCGCCTCCCTGCCTCCCCGCGGGGCTGGTCCCGGTGCCGCCGGGGTCTGCCCTGCCCTGGGGAGTGTCCCTGGGCCGGAGACCTCCGCTGCGGTCAGGGCTGACCCCGTCTCCTTAATGGCTCCGCAATGCTGTCTGCCTTGGCTGCGCCCCCAGGCTCCGGAGGCGAGCGGCGATGACCGGAGCCTCCTCCGCCGGCTCCGGAGCTGCCCGTGCCGGGAAACTTGTTACAGGGCTGGTCCCCCTCTCCCTTTCCTCGCCCCGGGTCGACACGAGAGTTTCCTCCCGTCTCAGTGGAGCCTCCCCTCACCAGGATGGCTCCTGCCCCGGCCCCCTCCTTTTTTTGATCTCTCATCCTTCTCGAAAGGCTGGTGGGAATTACGGCTTTTCATTTCCCGGCCGTTCTCCCGTCTCCTCCTCTATCATCCTCCACAAGTGATTCTCTCCCCCCTGTCCACCCCTAAACATCCTCATTTTCGTTCCTGCTGGTACCTTTCAACACCAGCCAAAAGGTGACTGCAGAGCCTCGCTTTTGCTTGCCAGGCTTCCCGCGGACATCACCGTGCCTTGCTCCCAGAAGCCATAAAAGTTCACATCAGCCTTTCCTTAGCCTCTTATTCATCCCTCTCTTCCTCCCACTGCTGATCCAGCCTTCTTGCTGCCCAGGGGTTTTAATGAGATCTTATTCAAACCACAACAGTTGCGCGCACAGACACACACGCACACACAGAGCCGCTGCAAAGCTCGCCTTTCTAACCCTTTCCCAGCCAAGTTCCCCCCCTCCGCATTCCGGCTCGGCTGACACCTGCTACGACAGGGGATGCAAACCAGGGGATTATCTCCCCGAAAGTTTTCCCTGTGAGCACGTTCAGATTATGCCTCTCTCCTGCTCGGGTGATGGGGGCGGTTGTTTGTTTTCGGTGGCGAGGAGGCGGGGGGTGGGGGGGAAGAAAGCCTTTCCACGCAAACAGGTCCAAGCACAGACTCCCCAGGCACATGGGAGACCGCAGCGGCGGCCCCGGCGGGTCCCCTGCCCGCTCCTGGCCGGGCAAACAGGCGGCATTTGGCCCCTAACTTTACAATCAGGAATAGCCGGGTGAGGAATTCAGCCGCCTTTCTCCCATCCCTCCTTCTGTCTCTCCACGGAGTTGGGTTCAACCGCTGCCCGTGACATTATCGCGGCTAAACGAGATGCTCCCTTTATATATTTATATATCTACCGCGTCTCTCTCCAACCCCCCCGTTCCCTGTCTTACCAATGTGGATGATGGAGTCCGCCCGCACCGAAACGCACTGAAATATCCAGGGGAAAAGCCAGAGCATCAACACTTCCATTTCCAGCCTCTCGCACAGCACATCAGCCCGGGTTTGGTGGGAGAGACAGACAGGGGAAAAGAAGAAAAAAGACGCAAGGGCAGGTGGAGTAAGGCAGCGGGCGCCGGGGAGAGATGCCCAAACACCCCCCTTCTCAGAAAAAAAATCCCGAATTCCTGCAGCGACCCAAGAATTTCCCAAAATCGAGCAAAAACGGGCGATGGGGACAGGCGGAGAGGGGGGGGGAATAAAAAGGGGAGGGGGGGGAAAAGCCGGGGCTTAAAAAAAAAAAAAAAAAAAAAAAAAATCACGGAGGTAGATCCCGGGTTGGCAGGCGGCGCGGCGGAGCCTCCAGCGCTCGGTGTGTGCCGGGGCGCCGGCAGACCGCGAACTGCGGAGCGGCCCCCCCGCCGCCGCCGCCCGCCCCCCGCGCCACGTGACTGCGGAGCCTCGGCGCTCGGTGCCGCCGGGGCACGGCGGGCGGGCGGGCAGCGGCGGGGGCAGCGGCGAATCGGGGCGGCCGGGCGGGAGCGGGGACACCGACCGCGGCCGGGTACAGCTGGGTACATCCAGAATTAGATGTACATGTGTATCACGCATATCTCCCGGAGGAAAGGGGCAGGGGGCCGATGCTCGAAGCGCAGGGAGCGAGGCGGGTGGGCAGCTCCCCGCTGCCGGGCGCGGGAGGGTCCGCGGGGCCGCAGCCGCTGCCCGGAGGGCGCCCAGCACCGCGCGGCCTCCCGCAGCCCCCGCCCGGCTCCGCGGGATGCCCCCGCAGGTAAGGGCGTGGGGCCGCGCCCGCCGCCGCTCCTACAACTTCGGGGCACCGCGGGGCGGAGGGATTGCCCCTTCCTCCTTCCGCACGCTCGGGCCCGGGACATGGTCCACGCGTTTGAGGAGCGAAATGGAAATGAGAGGCTTTTACCCCCGCGCTGGGGGCGAAGGGGTGGGGGAGAAAAGTGGTACAGCATAACCTTTTCTTGTTTTGTTTTGTTCTAGCTTTCAATGAAATCCAATTCATAAATTGGACATGCTCAGGCTCAGAAGACTAATTCATCCCCTAAAACAAACGCATCAGTGATTGCAGGCACCCAAACGTGACAAGCGTCTCAATATACCGAGGATCCAGAGAAAACAAATTCATTCAGGAGCCCGAAACGTAATTAAAACTACTGCCAAGAAAATTAGTTGAGTGCAGGATGTTACCAAGATTATTAAGTTGCTGTAGGGCTGAGGCACGGACCGCTATAGCGATACATAGAGATGTCAGCCTTTGGACAACGGGAAGCAGAGCGATTCCTGGAGGTCGCAGTCTTGCAAGCGCAAGCCTGGTAACAGCGCGCTGTGGCCGCATCCTGCTCTCGGGAAGCGAAAGGCAGAGCCCGAGGGCTCGGCAGGGAATGACCGGGTCCCCGCCGCCTGCTGAGCCCCGGGAGGCTGGTCACGGAGGGTCCGGCGGCACCCGGACCCCTGTCACTTACTATAGCATCCCTGTGACGTCTATTCAGCACACTTTTTATAACCATCACCTGTATATGCTCTAGTAAATTCTCCGGATACTTAGCATTGCTTGCTTGCAGGAGCGATAGCTGCAATGTATTTATTCCATATAGAAAATATTTTTTTCCCATGCAGAGCACAGTACAACAAGAACTGCTCAATGCTAAAGGAGTAGGAAATCTAGATAAGCTTTACAGTGGCTGGGGAGGCAGAAGGGGGAGGGAACACACAGTATAGATGGAGCAGAGTGAAAGGGAAGGAAACCGAAATGGAAATGATATGAACAAGAATCCCTGTTGATCCACATGCATCAACAACCTCTTATTCAGTGCTAGTTACAAGCACAGCTTTTGAACAGGGAAGAGCAGGGGGTGAATAAAACAAGATATGTTTTTTAAAAATAAATCACTTGTTAACTACTCTTACTTACAGTCCTTGTCTTAAATATGCAATTTCGCACTGATCAATGCAGAATGATATATACTGTACTCTGCATTTCATGTAATAAAAACACTTAATCCAGATAATTGGCTTCTGGGACAGAGATCAATAGAAATGTTCCTTATTTGACTACGTTAGCAAGTCAAAATTAATTCTAATTTACATTTGCTTCAAATCAATATGCACTTAGTGACTTACACAGGCTCTTTAAAAAGTTAAGCACCTATATTGACCAGAGTCATATATATGTCAGTAACAAGTACATGTGTGGGAATTAGAGAGGGGGAAAGTGTTACTGCAGAACCAGTCTCTGACTTTCATAGAGTAAAGGAGGTTAAATTTATTTGTGTTTGAGTAGTGCTTTGGCATCCTAGCCTGAAAGCTGTAGAAACATGCAGCTGTTAACCCTGTGATTTGTGCAGGCACCCAAGCACCCATCAGTAGCACTCCAAGCACTTGGGAGCAGGTTTGCCTCTTTCTGTACTTTGCACAGTGAGGTCCTGACCTCAGCTCGCATGCCTCTGGTTGCTATTTTAGTAATAATAAAATAGTAATATAAAATATTAAAAATCTAAACCCAGTGAATTGGACAAGTTACAAAATTTCCTGTGAACTCCATGAGCAAACACTCTGCATGCAGAAAAGGATCCAGTCCCAGCCAAGGGAGGGATGGGGGAAAGACAAGAGCCCAGAATACTGTAGAACAGACCAACTGAAACAGGCCCCAAAACTGGGCAGAAGGCTACAGTCAGAGGACAACAACAAACAAGAAAAATGCCTAGAAGAAATCTCAAGTGCCATAAAATCTGATATGCAACATGCAAAGTACAATGAGACCTAAATGGATCCACCACAGCAAAGAGAAGAACTGCAAGTTCCGTAGAGTCTCTTCAGGATGAAGAGTTGCAGCAGTCAGGCTGCATTGCCTTTTCTTTCCCATTATTTGCATAATTTTTTTCTTTCTCCTCTCCCACCACTCTTCTTTTTTTAACAACAACAACAACAAAAAAAAAAAAAAAAAAAAAAAAAACCAACAAAACAAAACAAAACAACTTTGGCTTGGATTATGTCTTCCATAACACTTACTGATTCCCCTGTGATTTCCCTCCTTCCCAAAAAAGCTATCAATGTTACATTTCTAAGCCCAGTATAAATGAGACCACTCATTTCAATTCTGCCACTCATCATTTGCCATCAGGAGAGTGCTGACATTTTGCAGTGGGTGAACACTGTTTAGATGCAGCAATCAACACTAAAAGGCTAATCCATTCGCCAACATTTTGCATATTAAGAATGTTGTAGGTCACTGTGATATTCCATCATCATTGGTAGGGGACTCACAGCACATTATTACCCGAGGTACCACTGGATTTACAGTGCCAGTGGAAGAATGGCATCTCATTAGCAATATGCAACATAGTGACAGACACCACTCAAAATTCAACTCTGCCACAACAGATGTGATTCTATGCAGATTTCAGACAGCTCTATTACCTTTGCAAACCACTGTGGTGATTTTAGGCTTACCTATCATGAGTTATTGCTGTGCTTATTGCTGTTATCTGAATGAACATGGCATGAAACCTGTACCAAGTGGGGTTTGCTACCACGAGAGAACGGCCTGAGTAATGCTCCAAAAACTACATTGCAAATAGAAACATAAAGTGTCCTATAAAGGTAAACTGAAAGGTTTGTGCAGTGCCACACTCAGAGCCTTGTGCCCAGGGCTCTGTCCCTCTGTGCTGCCACAGCAAGAATGAAGCACGTTTTGAAAGACAGCATCAGAACTCTGGCTGCTGGACTTGCCTGGGTCTGGAAAACCCTCACGTTCAATGAGCATGTACAAAGCTGCTTCATAAGCACGAACTCCACAAGACCATAACACTGAGACTGTTATCATACTATATCCTATGCTCAGAATAAATGGAGTGCTTTAAGATTCAACATTTCTCGTGTCTTCTCTCAAGTTCCACCCATTTACTGTAGCTAAGCTGAGGCTTCCACATATGACAATATGTGCATATATATCTACATCTGTACACATAGCAATTATTATTATTCCTTCTGAAAGTAAATGGAACTCCTCTAAATCAGTTATACAGGTGTAAAGATGCAGCAAATACCTCCCGTCCTTAGCTGCTCAGTCTGTGGAGTCGGAAGAATGAAAACAAAAAATAAACAAAAATATGATCTTATACAACATGGTAACAATCTCAAGCCAAGACATCTATTGTTAACACACACAAAAAAAGGTCAAATTTCTCATTCTAAAATGCAATGAAATTGAACAGCTGTGCTTCACTTGGGAAATAGTAATGCAAAATCTCAAACCTACTATGCATTCCTTACTTTGTGGATGCTTGTGTTTAAAAATTCATTTTGATTGTCATTCTCCTGTGTTGACAACCCCAAGTTTCAGTTGCTTTATTGAAGCTTCTTTAGATTACTGAAACCACCTTTTCTCTTTTCATGATTGATAGCATAGTATGATAATCTTCCAGGAGTAAATGGACTAAAGTCTGCAAGAAGAGGCTGCTGAATTATAGAGTTCTTTGTGGGACAGTCAACATTCTTGATTAATTTGTTGTGTGCCTACCAACAATCTGAAACTTTGCTACAGTCAAACTTCCTTTGGATTGACATACCTTTTAAGGTGCCATAAAGAAGGCAAAGCACTATTATTTCCATATTTTTACCTGATTTAATTCAGCAGAGTACACACAGCCTAGATTTGATTTAATTCATACTTATGTTTGCTTAATTTCATCAGTTCAATATCTGTTGCATCTTGATAAGATTCATATTTACTTCCCTACTCCTCTCTTCCAGCTGTGCCTTTTCATACCTTATTTTACTCTAACAGGCATTTTCTTTACAATAGGTAAGCCTATAGAGGCTTTCCCAGCCTTCCACAGTTTCATAATTGCATAAATGCACTCTTAATGCAGTCCAAGGCAAGTTTTATAGGTGTTGGTAAGTGTAATCTCTATCTTGGCATCTGTATTTAATAAACACTTTGATTCAGAAGGAACTCAAAAAGGAATCTCTTTATTCACAACATTTTAATACCATCAATATGTATTTGATTGAGAATTCTAACACACAAGTGGCTGAAGAATCCTTTGTAACTACTATATGGGATGTGAGTGTAACTCACAGTTAGAGGAAAACCCTTTTCTCTTCCATTTCTAAGCAAGCTCCTTGTCATTATATCCACTGAACACTTACTGGAAAAGGCTAAACTCTGTAAGCTTTTTTCCTGAGCAGAGATCCTTCTTTTAAAAAAAAAAAAAAAAAATCGGAGCAAAGTAGGTATGGTTGTCATCTTTGTTACAGTACAGTTGCACAGGAATGCAGGCTCTCCAAGTAAAAGTGTTTGTCCTTTGTTCCTGATTTAATAGTAGCCATATCAAGATAATCTCTGAGCTAATTTCACTGGCATCTTGCATGCCTCATTGATCCATCCACATTGTACACACAGTCCAGTCCCGTGAGCTGTTCAACGAGCTGCCTATTACAGATGATGAGACAGTGCTAGGACAGCAACCCAAAGAGGCAGACACATCCCAAAAGGAAAACCATAACAAGAAAAACCCTAGATATCCTTCCCTGTCCAGCTGCCATAAATACAAACCCACCAATCTTGCACTTTCACAGGTAGCAATGAGCCAAGAATGACCCCTATGTTTTATAGATACTTCACTGCAAATACGTTTCCCAGTACTTCCACTATTATAAAATTTACCAACATTTGACCGTAAAAATATATCCTTGCTTTGTTAGAACTGATTGAAACTGCAGGGTGGGTATGCCAGACAGAGGAGAAAACAAGTTACTAGAATTTAACCTGCGGTTCACCTCAGTTGGGTGAGGACTCTGGAGAAGTCACATTTTCGCTACTTCTCACTTTACCCCCCTAGACAGCAATAAAACCAGTAAAGCAGCTGCTGCTGTGTGGTGAAGCCCATAACCAGAGAAGTCTGAACATGTTCATTTGAAAAAGTTCTGCCCTGCAGCCAAGACACAGTAACTGGTCTCATGTTTGTTCCTACTTCACTGCAAACTCCACCAAGGAGTGATGTAAGCAGAAAATTTTGCTACAAGCCAGAAACTGCCCTTTGCTGCATCTCAGGCAAAGAATAGCAACATTTTCAGTTGCACTAATTCCATCACTAAATAGTGATTCAGTTCGTGGGTACAAAGACCTTTAAAAGCCTCACAATGGAAAGTACTCTAAGTGGAAAGTAATTTTACCTTAAAAAAAACAACCCTGATCCTCCTCAGCAGTCCATTCTAAACCATATTATACTTAGGGACTGTCCTACAATAGGTCACTCCTACCAGCTGATAAGGTCTCCTTTTTTGACTTGCAATGCTGCATCATGGAGTTGATGGGTTGGGGTTTTTCTTTGTTTGGGGTGGGGTTGTTTTGTTTGTTTGTTTCCCACTGTGTTTTTATAGCATCCACTTTGCAGCCATTTGTGCAAACAAGGGCATATTTGCCTTTTCATTGACTCCATTAGCATTAATGGCAGTCACACACACAGAGCAGGAGAGAATATATTCTCCCAGGGATTTGTGTTCTCTTTTAGAAAAGGTCCCCAGTCATAGAGTTCATAATTCATACTCATGTTTCCAGGAAGGGAAATGAAGATTTTATACCAGAACCATCAGCTTGACTCTCACTGTATGCCTGACTTCAAAATTTATCCTCACAAAGCTTTTGCTTGTTGTAATTTTTGTCTCTTAGAGGAAACAAAACAAACCATCAACCAACAGAAACAACAAAAAAGCCAGACAGTATGGTAAACTGTCATGGTATATCTTAAATTTCCTATTAAAAAAAAGGGATTGTTTTTAAAGGCAGTGCAATCCAGCCATTGGAGCAGAGGGGCCATGATTCCTGGGCTCCATTCCCACCACAGTCACTGATTCATTTCATGACTAATTGAGTGGACTGTTGCATGAACATCGTAT